CCCCCCCACAAAACACCCAATTGATCGACGGGTTTAGACCGCTCATGATGAGATAACCTCCCCAGTGATGACCGGTCATTGCTGTAACTCTTTGCCCAGTATTTGATGGGATAAAACACCCCCAGAGATGCCCGGTCATGTGTGGGAGCCCCCCCCCCCCAAAACACCCCCATTAATGCCGGGTCAAACCCGTTCATCAATGGGGGTGTTTGGGGGGGGGGGTTACTCCCAACAATGACCGGTCATCTCTGGGGGTGTTTAATCCCATCAATGACTGGTCAAAGAGTCACAGCAATGACCGGTCATCACTGGGGGTGTTATCCCATCAATGACCGGTCAAAACCGGTCATCAATGGGGGTGTTTGGGGGGGGGGGGGGTTACTCCCAGCAATGACTGGTCAAAGCTTACTCCCATCAATGACCAAACCGGCCATTGATGGGGGTGTTTATTCCCATCAAGGACCAAACCTGCCCTTGATGGGAGTGTGTCCTCAATAAAAGTACAAGCAGTCATTGATGGGAGGCTTACCCCATCAAGGACTGGTTGAAATCAGTCCTTGATGGGGGTGTTTATCATCAATGGGAGGTGTACTCCCACTCCCATGGATGACTGGGTGTATTTATGGGGGGTGTAGAGTCAAAGGGGTTGAGAGGAGGTCACAAACCCCTTGGATACATGGCTAATTTGGCGGACCAGTGCCATGTTTGGCGGTTCAGGAGCATGGGTGGCCAATTTGGCGGTTAGATTCAATTTTCACTTTGGCCATTCTGGCGGTTCAGGGCCATCATTTGGTGGTTATTCGGCCAAAGTGGCGGTTCATCACCATGTTTTCATTTTTTTTTTTGGCCAAAATGGCTGTTCAGTACCTCCATAATGATGGATGTATTCAAGTATCTTAATAGCTGAATAATGTGTAATTCACCTAAACAAATCCAATTGACTGAGACTTTTTCCAATGTGAACAATTTCCTCTTATTTTGTTTATCGTAAATAACTCTTCACAGAGATACCCTAATCATGTCGCAAAAACAGGATCAATTTTTTAGTTATTCAGTAACGAAAACAATAGACCGGTTCACGTAGCTGCTTGTTCACAAATAAAATTTGTGCGACGAGCAACGCTTAACGACATCTTGTTAAAATTTTGGCGGAGTCCCACGCACAATTTAAGCAAAATAGTTTAAGCAACGAGCAGTGCGACTCTTCACACATGTCATAAAAACGCCCTACGTGAACCGGGCTAATTGATCAGAAAATGTGATGTACTACATAATTGGTCAAGTATTTGTTCATCAGCCATCGAGTTCGGATTCATGTTTTGGGCTTGAACACCACAGAGAACGCACTAAATTGACAGCAATTGAGGAATTATTATGTAGTGTGTGCATATGGCTTGATGAGAAATAGAATTGACCTTATCTCTGCCCGTGCCGGGATCGAGGGAGGTTCCCCTTGCGATAATCGATTCCAGTGAGGTCATCGGCTAGAGAAGTCGAGCAGCCATGTGACAGCTGACTGTCCAGTCCCCCTTTCCAGGTGACATGTGTACCTTTTGCACGTGTGACATGTATGCATTTACCTCCGTTGGAAGTTGAGCTCCCTTCGATCTCTTCCACAGAATTTGAATCAGCACATGCCCACTGCAACCAGCTCATATCCACCCCCAAACTCAGACTCTTTTCTCTTGACCATCCCATTGTCACCAGGATTTCTTCATTTTGAGCCACCGCATCTCCTCAAGCACTCCAATTCGTCGCATCATGTCCACCGTGCAGGCGCCATTGTTATGGGTGCCTCTCAAAACAACTTCGGATGTCTCGTATGCCCCATCTATTCGTCAGACGATTATCCAGACCTACCAGGAATCAGCCGATAGCTACAAAGAAGAAATCGCCGCCCTCGATCGATGTCGGCAAGATGCCCTCAGGGGTAGCGCAGGAAGTGACATAACTGGTATTTCTAGATTCACTACCACCCCCGCTTTATAAATGCTGACTGTTCTCGTTGCTTATCCCTAAACTCGGTGTCTACCAATCTCAGGTCGGGACTTACTGTACAAGTACTTTGGTCAACTCGAACTTCTCGAGCTCCGATTCCCTGAGGTCCGAGTCCCATTCCCTTGGTAAGCCATCCGACTTTCCTTCGAGGTGACGTCATCAATCAATAAAAACATCAATCCGCTTTGATTTCTGATCATCATCAAATTTTGTGTGCTGACTTGCTTTTTTTTTTTTTTTTTTTTTTTGAAAATTTGTTGTAGGAAGGATGCTTTCACCGGCAAAGAAATATCACAACTATCACTTGCTTACGAAAAGGCATCCGTCATCTTTAATATTGCAGCCACCCTCTCCTCATTGGCTGCGCAGCAGAATCGAACATCTACCGAGGGTATCCGTCGAGCGTTCCATAACTTTAGATGCGCTGCTGGGATGTTTACCTACATCAACGACAACTTTCTACACGCCCCGTCAACCGATCTGAGCCGAGAAGTGGTCAAAGTCCTTGTTCAACTGATGATTGCCCAAGCCACCGAAGTTTTTGTCGAGCGAATGACTGAGGAGAAAGAGAAGAAACCGTTTGGATTGAGAGCTCGAGTCAGCACTCAAGCCGCTTTCCTCTACGGTAGTATCATAGAAGATGTAAAGGAACTGGTCAACAAGGGGATTTTCGAACGCAGCTGGACTTGGCTTGTTCAAGTACGTTAACAACAACTTAACAAAAAGATCATTCCAGCAGTTCATAGATTCATTATTAAGATATGGTTCTTGATTTAGTGCAAGCACAAATACTTTGTCTCATTGGCCCAATACCAGCGATCTTTGGCCGATTCAGCTTCCTCTAAACATGGCGATGCTTTGGCTCGACTTCAAATCGCAGAAACAGCCGCAAAAGAAGCCTCTCGATTTGCAACATCGTTTTCCACTTCCTTTACGACTGCTAGCAGCGCAGGCTCAGCTACCCTTCCCTCTGACGCTGCGACCTCACTGTTGGATCTCACACGAACACATTTGGCGCTTTGTAATGAAGCAAAGGTTTCAGAACAGCGGGACAACGATTTGATCTATCATGAAGCATTGCCCTCAGAAGCGGCTCTCCCCCCAATTGAGAAGAGTAGTGTCGGTGAGCCCATTGCGATTCAGGAAGTATACGGAGCACCGGAGGTTCAGAAAGTCGTTGGCCAAGACATTTTCGTTCGCCTTGTCCCACTCAGCGTTCATCAAAGCTCAAGCCTTTACAGCGAAGAAAAGGCGAAGCTCATTCGAACCGAAGGGGAAAGGTGCGAAACGGCTGATACAGAACTCGTCACTGCCCTCGAATTCGCGGGTTTGCCAGCGAGCTTGGACAAATTCAATGATTTTGTCAACAATGGATCGACGCGACTGAGTGAGATGACGGAACCTCCCAACCAAGTCCTCGAATGGGCAGAAGCTGTACAACACGCCAAAGAAGTTAAACCAATTGAGAAGATGTGGGATGAGTTGACCGGTCTGCGTAACAAAGTCCATCACGATCTTGACAGCATTGAACAAAAGCTCGACACCGACGCTCGCGATTGTGAGCAAATGCGTGTAAAATATGATCATCTTTGGGAACAACAACCGTCTTCCAATTTCACTAAGGCATGGAGGCAAAGCTTGAAGTCCCATCGAGAAGCACTGGAGGAGGCTAGGAAGTCTGATCAGCAAATCGATGAGATTTGGCAATCAGCAAAGACGGACCTTGGAATCCTGGCTGATCCAACTCGGCAGTCGGTGCGCCGATTGTTTACAGAGAACATGCAACATAGAGACAACTCGAACGCCAACAGTCTTCTCGACATGCTCGATGTTAATGATGATGAATCCGAAATGTCACAAATGAAGAACATGATAACAGCAATTCAAGAAAATATCAGTCGTCTTCAAGCCATCAAAAAGGAGCGAAACGGAGTGCTGCAAGACCTGAAGGAACGAATTCAAGCGGATGACATCTCACAACTTTTGATTTTAAATCGGAAAGCTCAAAACATTGAGCCTGCATTGTTTGCTGCTGAGCTTGAAAAGTTCCAGGCCCATTCTGGCCGGATCAGCGCCACAATACACCTACAGACAACTGCCATCCAAGAATTAACGGCCCACTACAAATCTTTGGTCGACAGCAGGCGAGGGAAAGATATACAGGAACGATGGACAAACGCATCGAAAAGAATGGCACAAGCCACGAATCGGTTACAAGCAGCGTATCAATCTCATGAGGAAGTTCGATCAGCACTGCTGAAAGGAATTCACTTCTATCGCGAAACTCAAACGGCGGTAATTGAGATTCAGAGACAAGCTGAAAGTTTTCTCAGTAATCGGGTAGCTGAACGGATGCGTATGGTCACTCAAGCTGAAGCTAAATCAGATAGGAAGGACGCCAATCGGGGACAGGCCCATAATCTGGATCATCAAATGGCCAGAATGAACTTAGCCAATTCGTCGTTATCATCTCCTGCCTCGGGTCCTGTCCCTCCACCCCTACCGCCCCCGCCTCGACAATGGCAACAACCAGTCAATTCTAGCTCCCCTGGGCCCCCATATCAGACCTTTTCCCCTTACTCAACTGGCTCGGATCGGACCTCAGCTTCAGCAACTCAGGCCCATTATTCCTCACCCTCACCACCATCCGCTGATCCATATGCTTCATTGGCATCCTTTGGCTCAATCAACCCCTCTACAACGCCCGTATCCCAGAACCTCTCTGGCCCGGTCCACCCCCAAGTTTCTCATCAGTATTCGGGACAAGCTCAGGCTTCAATTCCCCAACAGTATTCCGGTCAAGCTCCACCACCTCCCCCTTCAGCCCCTCCCCAGCGTCCTGCTCAGTTTCATCATCAACACAACGCATTCCCAGCTAACGCCCAATACGATCCCGTTGCTGCATCAGCTGGCCCGCCCAAGCCTGCTTTGCCGCCACCTCCTCCACCGGTAACCTACCAATCTGCTGTTGCACAAGCCCAAAATCCAAACTCGTCGTGGACCTCTTCTCAACCCTCTGAAGCCCTTCACCACCATGCTCAACAGCCTGGTCCATCACCGATGCATTATCCTTCTGCTCCGCAACCTCGGCCACCAGTGGGCCCTCTGACCTCACATTACCATCAGAACAGCACTGCTCAGACTTACGTTCCCAACCATCAATTCTCTGCTCCGACCGTCCAGGCCTATCATGATCCCAGGAACGGTATGAGCTACGGTTCTGCAACTCAAAGTCCTCAACCACCGCCGAAGTCCGATCCAATTTATCCAAATCATGGCGGATGGCAACAGGGCCAACAACATCCTAATTCATACACCACAGCTCCCCATAATTCTTATTACCCTAACCCCGCACCACCGCCACCACCACCACCACCACCACATGGATCAAGGTATCAGTAGTCCATGATCTGTTTATTGTAGCTTGTAAGATCTTAAGCAATCTCGTATGAACATATACACCATTTTTTGTTTCTTTAGATGATTTTTTTTTTCAAGTAGCACATTGTATGCAACTATTTATTAGCTACTTTCTTCTTTTTTTCTCCTGGTGTGCCTGTGCCTTGTTGTTGAGCCGTTAAAATAAAGTTTGATCAAGTTGTGAGTGACCACAAAAAAAAAAGCTCACTAGATGACAGGTGACATTATGTATGTAGCATTGGTTACCACTCCAGTGTTGTTCTGGTGCTGCTGCAATCCAACTACAAATTCAATGGCCCCTTTGTGTGCTGCAGGGGGCTGGACTATTATAGTTGAGCTGGGTATGTAGTGGGTGGCATGTTGAACTTGCCTGATGCCACCTGTCTTCAAGTGAGCATGGTTTTTTTGGGGTCTGAGCTTACTTGGATTACATGTGTTGTACAAGATCACCTGTGTGCTTGAACACTTGGTTAGACCTGAACATCCCTGGATGTTGTACAAACTTTGAGGAAAGGTCAGAGGTAAAAATCCTTCACTTGCATATCACTCTGAGCCAGTTGTCCATTTGTTTTGCATGAGTTACAACATAACTCAGCGTACAAATTCAGACACACTGGATTCAACAAGGTTTGTGGAGACAACCTTGGTTTCAACTCATTGTGTTGTCTCAGGGTTTTCAAGCTCAATGGATGAAGTCACTTTCCCAATACTGTTGTCTCAATCAAAATATGCACGTGCTTCAGCTTGATATAAATGTGCACAAGCCTTGAAGATGACACAAGTCACCTGGGAATCTGATTCTGGCCAGATTATGTACAGTCACCTCCCAGATGTTTATGGCCAGTTTGTTTGGACTACACAACCCCAACCTACCAACTTGAAATCAGGAGACTTGATTGGGTGGCATAAAATAAGTTTCAAAAAATGATTCTGAAAACAAAAATATGTAAAACTGATTTTTGAAATTTGCAAAAAATATTGCAATTATTGCACTTTTTTCAAAAGTTTCAATATTGCCCCCAATGATCAAATAAAAATCGGAGAGAGTAGTATGGTATGCAAGGAAAATGGGAATAAATGAAAAAAATGAACTCCAGACTTTATCCTGAGCTCATATGTATATGGGTTTAGGACCAGGGCTATCCCATAGGACCCAGGCCTGGTTCCTAGGGGATAGCCCAGAGTGTTTTTTTTTCATGCAAAAAAAAATAACAAGGAATAGCTCGTCATAAAGGGATTCCCTTCCCGACGGAGCTCGTGTACACACCGGCTTGTTGTGGAATTAAATATGTAAAAAATTCAAAGTTTTTTCTTTATACACATTTTTTCTCATATACTCTTTCAGAAATCAACCAATACGGCTTCAGAAATGGACTCTACGGACAATTTCAGCCTAGGTCACCACTGGACGCATCCTTGGAACCCTCACGGATTCAAAGTTACACCTCTACGGACACATATCACAAGGCCAAAACCCAATCAAGCACATGTCACACCCTTCAAATCACCTCTCAGTTATGCTTATACACAGCTCATGGTATACACATAATTTCCCACACCTCTTTATCTCCACCGCATAAATTAGTTTGGTTTTATTTGTCACCTCATGCACTGCCTTTGCAGGCTGCGCAGTCTTGATTGAATTACTTTTCCCACAGTTTATTAATTTTCTCACCTCATTTATGACAACAGCTGGATTTTTCCCACAAGTTATTGCCTCATTTGACACTTTCTCACATTTCCACGCACTGCGGCACAGCCTTTGACATTAATTGTACACAGCCTCACTGGTTAATTTCCCTCACTTGCATGATCAGACTAGCTAAATTCACTCATTTGTACCTACAGGCCAGCTAAAATCACTCTTTCTTGTCTGCCCTGAAGCTAAATTCCCTCACTTTTGTCTATAAAAGGAGGCTCTTTTCCCCCCATTTGTTGTCTCCTCATTCCAGTTCATTCACTCAGGACATCACTCAGCAGTCAATCAATATATAACTCACCAGTTACAAACAATTATATAAATCTTCCACCTGTTACACAACATAACAGTTTCTTTTATAAGCAATTATATATTCAACCTTTACCTTTCATCAAACAAAGTTTTACCGGAACCGACCAATCCTATCACGTTATTAAAACTTTCCAAGCTAAGCTTGGGGGTCTTGTTTCTGATAGTACAGAAGGGCAGAGTTTGTACCTCCATCATCCCCTTCTCAATTCAGCAAAAGGGTTTCACAACCGCTTTTGAGTCTTACATCTTCGGGAGGGGTTCCTCCCGGCAAGCCGGTAATTAAACCAGCTTGTCGGGAAGGAATCCCTTCCGACGAGCTGGTGTACACAACAGCTCATTGGGAGGGGTTCCTCCCGACAAGCCGGTACTTATACCAGCTTGTTGGGAAGGAAC